TGGCACCATTGAGATGGCAAAACGCCATGACATAGTTTACGATCGACAGAAGTGGATCGATGGATGATCTGATCGTCTCACAGTTGCTTACACAAATGCAATCAGTGATTCTTCTTCACACCCAGGCAACGACGAACACACACACTACCATCTCCTGTATCTCCACCCCAGTTCCACCTAACGTTGAGGACCAACTCCAATATCCCAGTGCGCTTAGCTGATTTGGTACCATCATATTTCAGTGTTTATTGCGTATCAAAGCTGAAACCTTACTGATGAGGTAATATCTGCAGTGGATCATCAGTCAACGAGCGTTAATGAAACCTAATCACGAGTTGATTGGACGTTATTGACTATCGATTACGGTTACCAGGCGATACTCACTCTCGCGCACACTCACGAAAAACACACTTCTGATTCTCTGGAATGTTAACAGATCTCCGTGTCACATCTGGCTGCACTAATAACTATGGCACATAGGAAGCGTGCGATTTTGTTCATGAACATGGACTACACACCTGGTCTACGATTGAAATTAAACAAAACCCATTCGCCTAGCAGTGAATTTTACAACTGCTAGCATCTGGAATTTGTGCCATAACACTTTGCCGTGGAAGACCCCACGTCACGTTTAATCCAATCAATTAAACCACCACCTCGCCAATCGCCCTGACCATTCACACAGTCGACAGACGGTTCACCAAACAAACACTTTACTAATGAGACGAACCAAAAGACAAAAACTGTTGTAAAGCAACCGGATTGATTTGGCACATCTGGCAAAAGCATATTCACGAGAAAGGCACTGACAAATCTACAAAGCACCAAGTATACTAAAACAATATACAGATTACAAAGACAGTGGAAAGCAGTCAGAGATTTCAAGTGTGTGTGGATGTTTTGTAATAAAATACAGAGCATCAAAATAAGCAGTCACTGCTAAAGGAACGTCCCGATAAACTAAGGTGGACTCTGCTTTGAGGACTCCGAGGAACCAATGGGCGGTCCCTGGTCAACGCGCAGCACTTCGTCCGATAACTCCACAGTGCCACGCTTGAATAGCGTTGTGATAAAGAAAAATGCATCCTGCAGTTCCGCCTAAAACAAAGCTCTATAGCATTAGGTTCTGAAACACACGGCTTTGCGTAAATTCTAACAAACTAGATGCAGTCCATTCAAGTTTGCCCCTCACCAATACATCCCGGTTGCAGTCAAGATCTCACCGCCATTTTACCCATGAACTTACCGACTCCAGTCCAAGCAACCTCTCCATTTGTGACCTTACTCCCGATGCAAAACCATCTGCGTCAGGAGCCACAGTTAGTCTCACAGCATACAGAATACATGCCGCCGCGGTGTACGAAGGTCGAAACAAATTTACCCCTTCAACTAGAAAAAATCGGAGTCAATCAAATGGCCACACAAACAACCAAGCATCATAAGTCGCACTAACCATGGAGAATTTTCATAAAAATCTGCTTCGCAGATTGCCTTATGAGCTGCCTCAATCCAGATTCACAAGTAAAGAAACTGGTTATTGGATGAATAAAGTCAATTGGTGTTATACAGGTCAGGTCCCATTGAAGCGTGACCGCAATCACGATTTCCTTTGCCTTTAAACAAAAAAACAAGAGACTAACGCTGTCATTTCATGTAGGAATAACAGCAGATCGAATTAGAAACGGTACTTACTAATATGTCCTCCTTAGTGACAGAGAAGTCTGTATATTGTACAAGCCTTTCTACTAACACCGGTATTGTTTCTTTAAGCTTACTAGCTAGTAGAAAACAGGTAGCCCCAACTAGCTGATAATCGCGTTTATCCGTGTTGCCAACATGGAGATAGCGATCAATCAACTGAGCCGCATGAGCAAGAACCTCAGCGTCGGTGTTTCTATGATCACACACTTCTCGCAGCCAGTTTAGTAATGCTCTACGCATCCAGATAGCCTGCGCTGGAGGTTCGTTTTGGCAGTATGCAGGAGGGGAATGATAACGTAGTTCATCCGAGAGCAAATCACGGATGATTGTCTCGTTAGCACTAAAGTACACGTCCGTCGCTGGCTGAGGCACCGAAGACGGACCTTCGTCGGCAGTCTTATCACCAATGGGTTGAGCGTTTTCCAAATCGCCCATGACGAGGCAGCAAGCCTCAAACACGTTACACAGCTGCAAAACTGGACCTGCCGGCCAAAACAGCTCAGATGAGTTGTCGGACTAAAGGCCCATTTAAAACAAAAAAATGAAGTTTGAAATGTTTTTACGCAGTTTTGTTTTTACAAAGCATGATTAGTGTAGGCGTTTTATTAATAATTTGTGCAAGTTACTCTGTATTGCGTCCGAAGTGAATTTGGCAAAAGCGTAAATGATTTATAGATGAATATCCTGTCAAAGGCTTGAGTCTAGTAATTTTGTTTTCATATATCGAAATTGTTTTGAATTTTATTGTCTAATGTCCTTATTTTTTTGTTTTTTCTAGAATCAATTCTAGCTTGTTGGGATTCCATTTTGGTTGCTATTTAGATTATATTTGTGACAACATCACATTCTGATTGTTTATCAACATTATTCGCTTTCTGGTTAGTTTGTGTTTTCTCGTTAATTTTGACTGTTTTTGATTTCTTTGTCTTGTATGAAATATTTATTCTTATACGTTAGGATTAAACTGGAATACCCGTCCTTTAATCCAATCAGTCATGAATCAGATTCGCCAGATTATTTGGATCCGGCGCATTTACTTGAAAGTTCAGAATTCGTTAAGGAAAAAGTGTGATTGTTGATCTTGTACCGAAGTCACACCTTGATTTAGCCATTTCTGGCGCTGTTTACGTCAGTTGCGATTTTTGACATGCCTGTTTCATAGTACAGCTATCCACAGAATAGTATCTTGCTCTAACTGGCCTATGATTGTACTGAGTTGTGTTGCGGTGACTAGAGGCATCGTCCTAAGAGAATTAATAGTCGGGTTTCGCCGACAGAATCCCTTCAGGTTGTCTTCCTTATGTAGGATAGCTATGTTGAAATAGAGCGTCTAAGCTTGAAAATTACTTCAGCCGTAATCGAAGAACAGCGAAAACGATCCTTCGCGGTAGATGTAATAGCATATATCTGCTATTGTGCCTTTTTAATAGTGTTCTAACAAAATCGATATTGTAAAACAAATGGTCAAGCGGAAATAACATTATAAATGTTACAGGACTCGTTCTGCCTATCTATAGCATTTCTTTCTATGGGTTTTACCACGTGTCTTGGTCAATCATCCTTGTCCAATTTTTGCCTTTATGATCGGAAGATATTTATTTTGGAAGCATGCTTCAGCTGGAATGATTTCTTTGGTACTTGAATGGTTCTTTAAAGCAATGCAACCAATCACCTCACAAGTATGCCCTTTAAATCCTTAAAACCAAGCAGGAGCCAATGATCGGCGGCGAACCACCAAAACCGACTCCATAACATAGCTCCAGCCCATTATGGAGAACCCCTATTAAATACTGGAATTTCTGGAAAACAAGAGGTGTTAATTTACAGAACATAAGCAATATCTCCAGTCGATACAGTATGCAAGGAAAATGAATGGATGTGCAATTAATGGAGAGATACCAGGAGTTTAAGTGTACACTGAAAACTCAAACAACAACATCGGAGAAATCGCACCAGGTGTCGTTTTGGTCGCGAGCGCGTGATCCTTGAGCCATCGACGTGGATGTACAAACCCCGTTCAACAGAAGCTTGAAGAAAATGTTAACAAAACTGCTGTCAAATCAATTTTAGTGAAAAAAGTTTTCTGTACAGCAAATGTATACATACGCGTTTCGTTGGACTGTTGCCATCTTGCAAGGCCTCGAGTTGATTAACGTAGCAATCCTCGGTGTAGCCAAGATAGTCTAAAAATTGCACCAATTCTTGTTATCTTTGAATAGTCTAAGGGTGTCAATCTAATGCGGTTTAAAATTCAGGGGTACAACGACAAAAGCGCAATTAAAAAACTGTTTGTGCCATAAGATTTTGCGGCGCCATGCAACCTAGAATAGACCAAAGACGAAGGATTTTCGACGTTTTATTGAACCACCAGACTATTCCCTGATATAGAGTGCGACAACCTTCTCTTCTCCATTGTGGTGACGAACCAGGGCGCAGACCCATTGGATAACCTGGCCTCAGCCAATCCCGTGTCTCTCTGCGTTCCAATGGCAAGCGAGGAAGATAAGCAGCCAACCAGAGAAGGACATGACTGAGGAGCAATATATAATCAGCGGCGTGGCCAGCGTGGTGGACTCGGATGGAAGGCGCCTGACTTGTGGCTTTGGCTTGTTATTGGTCAATAAAGCCTGTCTTGTTGTACCGGTCTTATTCCTATTAGGGCTCGGTTAATCTACCCAATTTACGCATTTGGGCGCAGACATATTGGATTACGCTGACCTCAGCCAATCCTCGGTTTGTGTGCGTTTAACTGTCCTGCGTTGTTTGGTTGATAAAGCTTGCTGCGTTAGGTAAATTTTCTTCATACTAGAGATCGGATATTCTGCGCTTTGAACAGATCAGCTAAGTGGTCGTTAGCCAATTGGCTTGGCTGGCGGTCTTTGTTGATAGGCGATTGGTCAATGATTGTCTTAGTGTTACATGAAAGTACAAGTGATATAACCGCTCAGTGTGCAAAGCATATTTGAGATTATGTTTTGTGCTTGACATTGTTAAGTAACAATTTAAGAGTAAATCACATTATGACCTTGAAAAAAGCGATATCAAAAAAAACGATTTACCAGGATGTTCGAGGTTCCGCTCGGAAAAATTAACCCTCCTTCTGTCCGCCTGAAGGTCGTGACCTTGAAGTGGACTTGATACGCCGTTTGTTTGGCGCCTTGAGGGCGGTCTTGCGAGGGTGTGCGACTTATGGTTCATGGGATCGTACATTCCGATCGCGGTGAATGTTCCTTTCTGGTCCAGCGCATCACTGAAGCTCCTTCGGCGTCTCAAGCCGCCTGGGTACTGGGAGATTTCGGCCCGTTGGCGCTCAGTCTGTCCGTATCGATTAATGTGGGCTTTCGGTGTGCTTGGGCTAACGACTGTGTTACTGCCCTTTACCCGCTGAATATCAAACAATGTAACAACGCAAGCATGTAATGCTCATGCAAACAACGTTTAATCCATAACAGACGACAGCATGTCTCAATTTGCAAAGTCAGTACACAAAACGGAAAAAAAGTATTTGCAATCAAAAAAGGGGTCCCGAAGTGTGATGCTTCCATCAACCAACAGGTTGCAAGTTTGGATGAACAGGTGGCCGAAGACAACGTGAATCTAGTCTTGCTACAGGACACAAATGAACATTACGACGACGACGACAGATCAGGTGGAGGGTGTTTTGTGGGAAATAGAAAACAAAACACAAAAGTTAACTGTCACCGTCATTGTTTGCGCAATTTCCCCAATCACACAAATTAAGTATGCGAGTTACCACGTTCCATCTGAGTTAGTTCATCAGGTCAAGGTCATGCCTGACTTTGTAGTGATTCGCCGTCGTCGTATTCTCCATCGCATTGACCTCCTCTTCACAGCGTTCCTATCGACTGTCCCTTTATGCACCCCTGTACGTGCACCTCTACAACTCTACTAGTTTCATCCATCTGATCGATCAGCCAATCGCACTTCTGTATTGATCGACAACGCCACTCAGATATCTGAGAGACGTAAAAAGGCCAATTCAAAACAGCGGCCTAACGTTTTATATCCTCGACAGTTGGTGACTCCAACGTGGTACATTCTCAATCTGACGGAATACACGGTACATCATGAAAGATTCGACTCAACAATTAAAATTCTTTACATACTAGCTGATAAACTAGTTGCATTATGATTCAAAAGGAGCACGTTAATGCCACTAAACTAACCACTGGGGTTGAGGACTGCTGGAATGCCCCATCGGTGAGAGTTCTTTGGTGGGAACGGTAGGACGCCTCCGTAGGGGAGAAAAGTGGGAATCCCGATAAATATACCGGCTGACTGAAAGGGTCCGCGGGCTCTCGCGATTGGTCCACAATCGGCACGTATCCGTAGACGGGGTTTGTTTGTGAGGAAGACACTAGCCCTGTCTGTCCGGCGACGTCACGGACAAGAAGTGGGTCGGGGGTGTAGAAGTGTCCCCCACCCGGGTGTCGATGGTGGGCATCGTGGTAGAACTGGCCGTCTGCAATCGACGAAAATGGATTTCATGAAAATTATCATTATACGGGACATCTGGTTACTTCTAATCCACTGTCAAAGAGTGTTCAGTATCGATTTCAACAATGGCGTGAACGGAAATCAAGCCTTTAACAAGAGGAACACAGCTCAGTCTACACCTTGACTACAAGTCAACACAATCGATTCTGACATCAAATCAGTCTTATCCAATGACATTTTACATCCTGAGTAGAGTTGAGTGTTGATTTAAACAATGGCTTGAACAGACATCACGTGAGTTCACAATAAACCCTTTCTAGGCACAATAGTTATTTAACTGTTTCGTAACTGTTTGCAACGCGTTGGTGCCTCAATGCATAAGCTAATCTTGTTCCCTGGCATATACAAGCGTTTGATTTTGTAAAACTGCTATTGGTTCAGCAGAAAAAAAAACACACCAGATTTTGACCAATTGCGATGCTGCTTTCTCAGCGGAAAAACCTGAGCCTTAGCGATGGGCGTTGACGCGATTTGATTGGTGTGTTTGTGGCGCTTGCGCATTAGATAGGTGATTACAACGATGTTAATGAAGATCACGATTCCTCCAATCACGCAAGCAGAGACAATGATGAAGAGTGAGCTGGACTTGGTATAACCCACTGCCTTCACACTGTGGTAGCTGTCAAAACCATCAAAGTCGTCGAGGACTAAAGAAAAAGACACAATTACGCTACTAACAAAACATCTACGATATTACTTGTAAAAATGAAAAAAAAAAACATTTGCAAAATGAACGTATATGCTGTCATTTGTCAAATTAATTTCCAATTGCAAGTTAGTTTTCGGGAGAACATTTTCATTGGTTGTCGCGGAAGTCCAAAAGTGGTTATTTTCACGTCTGGAATCATCGCATGCCCACTTGTGTTGGATTGGTGGATTCAGTCCAATCATTAAAGGCGTCTGCTAAGTACCTGAAGTTGTAACTGTTGGTTCATCTGTAGAATACCCGAGTCCTAGTATGGAAAAGACTGGTACAGCAGAACAGGCTTGATTAACCAATCACAAGCCAGAACCACACGTTATGCGCCTTCCATCCGAGTCCACTACGCTGGCCACGCCGCTAACTATATACTGCGACTAATTCGTGTCTGTTTCTGAATAGCTGCTTATCTACCTCGCGAAAAGACAAATGATTGGCTGAGGTCAGCGTGGTCCAATATGTCTGCGCATTTACACGTCGCTGCGCATCTTCAATCAGAATCAACGATATCCGCCTGGGATTAATAAAAAGTTTTATTTCTAGACAGAATTTTAGAGATTAATCTGCTCCACAAACCATCGAATTTCCGCTAAAAAGATCATTTAATTCAAGCATCATTGTAATGCATTTGTTTCCGGTTAAAATAGGACGAATTTCACCAGCTAAGAGAAGATGACGGAGGCATTTTTAAATTGTTCGATTAGACTCACCTGAGCTAGTCTTTGCTAGAATAGAAGTCGTGTACTCAGATTGGCCGTGCATGTCGTTGCGCGAACTCACGCCAATTTCATACTGAGTGGCAGCCTTCAAACCTAAAAGAATTTTAAGCGTCAGTAGCTCAAATATGTCTTTGCCAGCCGTGAAATGCATTAAAAAATTCACCTTGAATCGTGAATGCCACCGAAACAGTGTCCTCCACTTCAGCAACATCGGCGTAACGGTATTGGTCCCCCTGAAGGTCGGTCTTCCAACGAACCTAATTGGCCAGACATATTAGTAATAAAAACAATCTATATTTTTTTTTCAAATTTATGGCGAAAAAATTGATTTAAATGTCAACTATCAATTAACTAGATTGGACTTGATGTCAATGGAAGAATATAAAGCTTTTTATGCCGCCAAATAATGTATGATGTCGAACTCAGTCGACTAAAAAATCAAAGCAGAAATTTAAAAAAATTAATTTACTGCCTACTTAACACCCATAATTAGAGTAATTTAAAGTGTTAGGCGAAGCGTACGGTAAATGTTTGCCTGTAGCCACCGTTAAAGCCCTGTTTCCAGGCCACCCGAAGGCTGGATGTCGTTGCATTTAGTAACTGAAGATCGTAGGGCACCTCAGGGGGTCCCGTTCCTGTCACCTGGATCTGAAATTGGTCCTCTTCGCCACCTGCTGCCACAACCTAAAAAGTAGCTAGTAAAATAAATGCTACTTAAAAGGTTTAAGTATCCAAGTTGTTGCAACACACCTTGCATGTGTATTGACCAAAATCGGTCACGTGAATGGCGTTGATACGCAGTGTCGCCGAGTAATAACCAGGTCGTAGTTGCTTGGTAGTGTGAGTGAATTTGGGATTCGACGCGGCCTTAGCACACGGCAGACCCAATTGCGCAACAAAGGCGCCACAACTCGAGTCGAAAATGCGCTTCACGCTGGTACTGGTGTCCTTCTCGCGTTGGTCCAAGAACCAAACCACACGCGGCATCGGTTCTACCCGAATGAAGCACTGAAGCGTCGCACTGGAACCGAACGGAGCCGCCACTTTTGCAAATTTCGGCTGCTTGACAATCTCCGGCGCGACTAAATAAATCGATACAATCAATAACACTAGTAAAACTGATTGATTTGGCGAATTTGCATCGATTTTGACGCTGCAATCGGGTATATTGAATTTAAATCAACTTACACGTGCTGAAGAGTTTCATCTGTGCCTGGCTCGGTTTGGAAATGCCATTGTCAACTGTGCATCCGTATAGACCAACGTCGTCGCGTGTAACGTTGTAGATGTAAAGTTGACTTTGCATCGTGATCTGATCGACATCTTCGCATTGGACGAGATGTTTAATGGAAGAATCGATTCGAGTGACCTGTCGTGAGGACGAAAATTACGTTACAACCGGACCCGAATAACTCAACGGGCAAAAAATATGTGTGACGTAAAATTAGTTCTACTTTTAAAATATTAGTAACTATGTTGTTTTGTTCACAAAGTTTGCCGCCTTTTCAGCATTCACACCTGACATGAAAACAAAACAGACGTGGACTTACATCGTTGCAGCCGAGCGCCGTGGTCTCAATGCCTGGCGCCTCGTTGGCCTCCCTTTCCCAGTCAGGAAAAAGAAATCGATGCCAGGTAAACGAGTTCGCGGCCACTGCTGGGTTCCCCTTGGCAGAGCACACCAAAACGGCGAGTGAGCCCAAACTTACGTTGGCGTCAACCGCGCCGGAAATGACGGCAGCATCTGCAGAGAGAAAAACAAAAACACGCTGAATGCTGATTGGTTAATCAGTTTAACCTTGGAAATCGCATGAAGCAACTGCAATGCACTTCAACAAAACGTGCACTTTCTTCGACTTACACGTGACGTTGAGGGTGAAGGTGACCTCACTCACGCCCAGACTGTTCTGCGCCTGAATCGTCACGTTGGTCGTGTGGGCGCGTTTGATCGCAAAGATGACTAGAACTTCGTCTGTCTGATAGAGTCCAGACAGTTTGGCTACTGCCTTTTTGATGTGTTTTTTCGTAAAGTCAGCTGTTCTCGGGTCAATTGGGCTCTTTTTCAGTGGTTTTCCATTCACCAGCCACGTGACACGCTCACTTTTGGGGTTCCCGTAAGGAATCAAGTCCAGAGTTCCTGAACTGCCTACAAATTAAGCATTTTCAAACGACTCAAATAAAAGCAGGAGTGTACTAGCCTGAATTAGGATTATTGATTTGATCTCATTTACTATTGATTACAGTTGAAAATCGATATTTTACTCTCACGCGCACACTCATGTCTGAGTTGTGTTCATATTGTGATTTGCGTTCGCGCCATTAGTTAAATCAATACAGAACTCCGCTCACGTTGTGAACCCATGTCAGAATCGATTGAGTTGAGTTGTAGCCAAGGTGTGGGATGAGTTGTGTTCATTTCGGCACAACTATGATTTCTGTGTTCACTAAGAGAATACTCTACCCACGGTGTGAGTTGTGATTGGTTAATAATTGGCAAATCTCATTCGTCCTTAAGTGGTTTGTGTCATGGTTATATTCAAAACACAACCGAAATCAATTTTACAATTTCACAAAACATTGGATCAAGTAAGATTCGTGCGCTCATGAGTCAGAGCGCTTAACACACCCTCAACAATGCTGTGGGAATCGCCGGTCTGATAACCAATGAAATGCGGCGGAAAGGAGATGTTGAGATGGATCTGGCTCTGCTTCGTGTACGGTCCGTACTCCTTATTTGCGGCAAGACACGCAACGATATCCAAGTGATCCCTCCATTCTGGTCGCAGCAGCAGCCGACCCCGTGAAATGTGTCCGTGATGGCTTCCTTCAGATGTTGGATCTTCGATGCCTGAAACCAAAAGGCCCTTTTATCAAACCCCTCAAAAATCCATCCAATCGCTAAACGACCTTGTGAACTGATCTTTAACTCTGATTGAAGCATCCTAACTCATGGGCCTACCAATTCGTTCATCCATTTCACAGTCCTGTGTCACATCGCTGGGACTTAGTGTGGTCTGGGGGGAGGCACTGATCCTACCCTCAGATGTGAGGAGGATGCTTGAGTGATCGGCTCTACGCATGTACTGTTTGATCCGGCTGCAATGGTAGTAGCGCCACTGTAGACGAGCTGGGGGGTTGGCCGGACCTGCTTCACAGGTGACCTCCAACTCTTGACCCTCCAAAACCGGTCCGAACTGGCTGATTCTGACCGTCACTTCAGAGGGTGGAAAGTAGACGGTTAAAACTAGCGGCTTGCTGGTTACTTTTATTGGTTGAGCCTGGCTTTTTGCTTGACATCTGAAAAAAAATCAATTCGTAGACAAATAAACATAGCAAGCGATTACGAATTCAATCGATTATTTTGAATTCACTTCTTGCAGCGATGTTTCTAGCACACTGTCAGCGATCGCGCGTGAGTGAAGCACGCTTGCATAATTATTGATTTTAATTACTCATCTCCATCTTTCATTGGTTGCTGTTATCAGGCGCCATATTCGGTGACCGCGACAAACAAGGCACACTTTTTAAGCCCACTTTTACTTCTTTAAAATGGCGTTTACTTTAAGTAACCTAGGAGTGTCCACGACACGGTTTTACATAAATTACACCAACCAATCAGAGAATAAGATTAGGCATTTACATTTTCTTAACCTACGTTATTTTCGCGGCGTTGTCGTCCATTTTTCCAATTACCTCTAAGTCCAGGCTGACACCATCGCGAAATTTTTGTAGCGAAAACGACGTATCTAGTGGTTTTCCGTCTAAGTAAAACAGGACAAAAATGTACACCATGCATATGTATGAGGGGCAGCAAATAAAAACTAGAGAACCGCAATTGTTTTACTTTTAAACCACTGCAAATCCGGTGGTGGATATCCGTTCAGGCACTCGCAAACCAACTTCCTCGTCTCGCCGACTCTGATTGGTTCGTTGGCACCGAGGCCTTTGATGATTGGTTGATCTGGCGGATCTGAACAAAAGTTAACACATTTGATTAGACAGGCATATGGGGCTTGATTGAGGCCACATCGACCGCCGTCAGGCGGTGCAAATTATAAGGGATGAAAAAAGTCGTGCCCAATATCACGCTGATTTCAAAATATGATCTAGTTTTGATCCTATGTGTATCACAGAGGTACGTCAGAAGAACTTACAAATGATTCCAAGACGAACGCTTCGTATAACTCGATTTATTCCGTCATACCAAGCCTGACAATCCAGGAAACCACGTTGGTGTCGCTGGAGCATTTGAATTGTCACCTCAGACTCTCGAAAATACGCGCCGGCATGACTTGATGACGCCTTCAAGTCGTTCCGCGTAGCTTCTAGGTCGGGCTGCAAGACTGTACGATCTTCTGTCAGCAGCACCCACTTCAAGGTCACGTCTGGGTACACCTCATCGGTGGTGCAACGGAAGGTCAGAGTGGTCTGTTCTTGGGCGTAGGCGACAAGCTCAGGACGTCCGTTCACGAGTCCAGCGAGCAGGGGTTTATTTTTTAATGTGACAGTAACATTGTGGGGAGGATCTGAAAAAGTTAAAGAATCAATATAAAGTGGACTCGAGGGGGCGCAGTGGCATCGTGAAACCTCGTTGCATGGGCTAAACTAATTAAATATTAGTAGCTGATCGATTGAAAAATGTCCATACATGCCACGCCGAGCGAACATTGTTCACAAGAGTGAGCGAGCACAGTTCAATCGATTTTTTAAAGTGCACAACCGTGTGTGGCGATCAGCTGACGAACAGGACTTCAATCGATCAGCTTAAATGCACTTCACGTGGCGACGCCGATCAACATGCAAGCAGGAATTTAATCGATTTTTTTAAATACACTTCTAGTCGCGATGTTCGATCAGAAATTGATGCCAAGCTTTCCTGTATAAATTGTCGTCTTGCCATTCTATCTGCACGCTTAGTCACCACTCATTTATTTTGCGCAAATGAGATCATAGATTATTATTTGTGTCTTTTATTTAAGAAGGATGTGATAATGACGCCAAAATGGAAATTATCATAAAAGCCCAAATGAGCCACACGTTAATTTACTTAGTGCGGTGTTTAGCTTGTGTTGTTTTTCCTTACCTTTTGATGTGAATAGAGATTAACCAAAACCAACTCAGGTTTGTTACAAATTGAATCGAGCGCCAAGCTTCCCATACACTTAAAACGTTTTACCTAATGACTAAAACCAGGTTAATTTCCCAATTAAAAATCGTAACTGTTTAAACATGCTGCAACTGCTCAACTTAACACCATCTAAGTATGCAAAAAAACAAAATATGTCAACAGTAGGTCAATGGTAAATTTACCGAGTCAACACATGATTTGTTGTGATATTGTGATTTTGTGATCCAATTCTGTTCACCTGACGTCATGTTACATGTGCTGACAAAAATTTGTACCAACTGACTATTACCACTCACTAATTCAAAAGATGCTAGCAATTTATAAGCCTCTGAAGTGGAATCACACTTGTACCAACTTGAACACAGCTCAGCCCACGCCTTGACTACAACTCCAGCACGATCGATTCTCGCATCCAATCACATTTTAGGAAGGAGAGGAAATTTCAAAGATGGTCAATAATTAAGATACGACATTGCCGACCTCGGTAGAGAAGCGTGTTGATTCACGGCCAATAACCCGGTCGTCGCAGACTCACGCACACTCACGTCCCCCAATTTCATGGTGTGCCCGTCAGTCACACGAGTCCGCTTGCTCTTTCACCCCTGTGCATTTACCACCACCACCACCACCACCGACAACCTCGAGACGAGATTTAACCTAGAATTAGAATTACAACGACAGCCATTCAACACGCGAGCTCCGCTTACAACGTATCTTGATGTCGACGTCTGTTCGCCTGGAAACCCCCGTCTCGTGGCCAGTCTCGCAGGAGAGTTTGGCGGAGTGGTAGCGTCGGTGAATCGAGGGTATCGTGAGGAGGCTCGCCAGTTCCCCTCGCGTAAATGACGTCTCGTAGAAGCTCGTGGGTACGTCCTCGGTGTGCGCGACGGTCTGAGCGAAGTCCTGCGAGTAGAATGGCAAGCCGAGGACGTGTGGACCGCGTGGAAACGGCGGCGGGGTCGCAGTGGGTGAAGGGGGGAAGTGCCAACGCCAGAACAGAGCCCCCACTGGGTTGCCAGGAGGTGTAGCAACACACTTCGCCTGCAGCTTCGTCCCCTCCTTGAATATTCTGTCAAAGTTGTTGTCTAGGAGGGTGATTTTTGGCGGTCCTGGAGGCTCTAGAACCAATTGAAGAGGTTTGATCGTGGCTACGTCACCAAACACACCGTTATATCTGCATTTTTACCCAGAATTTAACAGTTACCAGACAACCGTGCTTCGTAATCTGCAGTAGTCGGTCCTTTTACCCAGTTTAATATTCATGTCACGAAAAGAACTTCATTCGGTCAACAAATTAGCATCGGCAAAGCGAATGAGCATTCGTATTTGAGGTAGAGCCTCACAGGAAATTCCATTAGCTGGTCAAAGTCGGTATTGTCATTTTTAATACACACTAAACTAATTTTTTTTTCGGCACACCGGCACAACTAATTAAATAACCACTGCGCAGTTGGTGGTTAACACAGGCACCGTTTGTCCACAAAATGACGATTTGAGTAGACACCCCGCCTTACCATTTATTGATTAAAATTTGTCTGAAATGGTGAGCACCTTAACCGTGAAGGCAATGAAATTATGGATTAAGGGTCTTATTGTAGTCAAATGTTCTATTTAATCCGGCAGATCGTGCATCCATTTTAAACGCAAAATGTAGCTCATGTTTTCTATTTCAAAATTCGGATAGAGAGTGAATATCAGAGGCTACTCTCCGATGGTAAGTGGAGATTACTCCCTGCGAAATCTGGGGTTATTAAATTTCGTGTAAATCACTGCTATGATTGGTCCTCTGATTAGCGGGATGCTGAGAGACGGTGGGGGGGGGAGCGAGTGGAGAGGGGGCAGATTAATTGCCCACGCATCCGGGGTTCACACTTGAGATCGCATCGGGAGAATTTCGGTAGTAAAGTAGGGGGTTGAGATGTCACCGAAGCTCGACAACTGGCAGTTATCTAATAAGCACCGATCAGCCACAAGACAACCGTGGATCAACCTAACGCAAGCCGGGACCCCTTTGTAAAAAAAAATTTGGTCTTTTTTGATTGGCAATTGAGATCTCGTGTTCGAATTGGACGTCCGGTGTGCATTTTCTAAAATTAGATTTGTCAACTTGTTTTCGTGTCCCTGTTGAGTAGACAAAATCGCGCGTCGCATACCATGAACGTCGACGACCACGGTTACGCGAAGGGTTCGAGCGGTCACGTCTTGTCTGGCGAGGGTGGCGTTGTTGCTGACCTCACAAGTCAGCGTGTCACCAGTTTTGAGGTCAGATTTGAGAAAGGTAATTGTCGACCGCTCCTCACCGGGATAATTTATGATTTGAGGCCATTTCACTAAAACAGAAAGTGTGTCAATTGAATTCTACCAATAGAATGGAAGCCAGCGATCGCGCGTGAGTGAAGCGCGCTTAACAAAATTATCGATTTTAATGACGCGTGCCTATTTTCCACTGGTTACTGTTATCGATCGCCTGCTACTCACGCGTGCTTTTGTCGTGGGACTCAACAGCCGACGCCCGTGCACAACAAATCTGAATTAGAGTCGATTTTGCATCAAATTTGAAAAATAAAAACGGTAGGATGTGCATCAATCACCAGATTTTAGAGATTAATTGCTCTATTTAACAATCACGACAAGCGTATCGTATGCAATTTATTTGGCAAATGACAAAACCAGGATTAGGCCTGACAACATGAATGCTGATTAATGGTGTGACCACGAGGCGATTTCAAATGAAGAAGTCAGTTTTTCTGATTGTTTGTTTAAAATTCACTTTACTTGGCCGAATGTCTGCGCACAACTTAATGTGTAACTGTGTGCTCAATGATGCAAGATTCAGTTCTGGGATTCTTGCGTTCCTGCTTTTTTGTCGGCGGCTATTATGTGTGTGGCTTAAATTGACATATTTTCGCAGTCTTTTGCGGTTTTTAAAGGCACGCACACACGATTTCACAGCGCCGAACGACAAGTCTACGTGAGTTACACAATCTCTCACAATAGAAGGGTTCACGATGGCAACTCATAAGCAGCGCATTCGACGCCAGTGCATCCAAAGCACGCGTATCAGCTTGTGGTGGTCTTGGTGCCGACGTGGTGTCTTGTGAAACGGGTTACAATTGTCCAAAACTTTCAACTGGACGTGATGATTTCGATCTTAGTGACCAGCCGCGCCTCGGACAGTGGCCTCAAAAGTTGGAAGACGCGCGCGACTGCAAGCTCTACTGGATTAAGACTCAACAAAAACACAACAAGAGCTTGCAGCACCTCAGTTAGGAGTCACCCAAACACCTTATTCCAAGCATTTGCACCAAATGGGAGAAATTCACAAACGTGGAAGTTGGGTTCCACCTGTGTTGACCGAACACAACGCATGACTTTCACTGCTTGCCCGCGGACAACAAGCTGTGAATGGACTTCCTGTGGAACATTGTGATGGGTGATAAAGATTATAACTTTTGCGGGAATTCCAAACGTAATGATTCGTTGGTAGATGCAGATCAAACCCAATACGTCGACGCCGAAACAGAACATTCGCTTGAAGAAGAAACATGAAGCGAGGTGGCTCAAAGTTATAGAAACCGATGGACAATATTTCCAAGACTAAGTTCTGTGTTCCCTGTTTTTAGATTAAATAAACTTACTGAAAAAACTGTAGAATTTACAGTATCTCATTATGCCCAAATTGAGAACAATTACCAGTTATAACAAAGCGCTTCATGTCCTGTACTTTGATAGGATTTAGTTGCATGACCTTGACAGGAATTAAAACAAGTTTTGCATAGTTTATTGCACACATCCAAGCTGTCTCGGTTCCTTGTCAGAATATGGGTTATACTACTGGTAGGCTGATTTCAGTAGCCGTTTCTAGGAAAGGCATTTCCGCTTGCTGATCTAATTGTGATTCTGTTCGTTTGATAGTTCTTGCCTATCTACTGTACCTCACCTTGATCAGTCTTGTTACTTTTAGATACACCACGATTTATGGAGCAATAACTTTTAATGCCGCGTTATTGCTAATTGATCCCAAGGGGTCGAACGCCTAGTTGAGCTTAAACGTTCATAAGATACGGTGGGAAAAGAGAGGAATTCTAATTAATTGCCGGCTGCAGTGCTCTTAGTGGCGTATTACACAACCATCTGGCACCGCTAGAGCCGCAAGGTCAAATCTACAGGCTGGGGAATAAGAGTAGCGGATCCTAACACTGACAACAAACGTCAAACAACCGTTTTAAACAAGTGTTCCGCTCTTTGTAAAGCTTAAATTAGGCCCACCATAAGGAAGATTGGGGAAACTCTTGACACCACGGACACGACGACAGCTAAATCGTGAATTTGGAGATCCAGTTGTGCGAAAATCGCGTTTCCCCGTAACACGACTAAGAGGTATTGCGGAAAGCCGCCAAATGATAACCCGGGCATTCACGAAGTTAGTTTAAAGGGACTTCGTCGTAACCGGATTCTAGACATTCGATTGGTCACTTGGTAGCCCTCAGCCTTGCCGAGATCCACCTGGTCCTCCGTCGATATGGCGTTTTAATTGTGCTTCGCTGCGTCAATCAATTATCAAGGTGACAGCAGAACAACTCAAGTGAATATCGATCAGTTCCGTAGACATGGCCCTCTAGTTGTCTATCACTTGTTCTCCGTTTTGGGTGATATCTTTATCCCAAAAATCACTGCTGCTGCTGCCTTTCTGATCATTCACGAGGATCTCCTAGCTCACGTCTCGTCGATTCCAACTGCTCTCGACTGAGTTACAAGGCGGCCACATCTTCAACGAACCAACCTATCAAGTCAGAATGGCTGATTTGGGTTCCCTTAGGTGTGATTTACCATCTGCATGCTGAAGGCGTATTGTGAATCACCATGAATGTCCATGGAGACGCGAATACACGCGCACCAATGCATCTCATTATGCGGTCTGACGCGTTTCACAAATAATGACTGTCTTGTCGTGGCCAATGCCTGAATCATTGCAGAATGACTTGTGGTACAGCGTAAACAGGCAAAAGTATGCATAACATTATGACAGTAACAGCTGTAAAACGGAATTTATGCAAATATCTCGGGGGAATTGCTAGTAAGAAGCAGTGAGCCAATCCCAGGTCACTGTGTTGGAGCTTGGTACCTTGTCCACAGAGCAGGCATTTAAATAAGTTTTGCTCAGTGCAACACAGAAGACGGATTATACTAGTGTTTCACTAATTTCAGTAGCCCTTTTTCTTGTCGAATCCCATCTACAGTCGGTGTTCTTGCCGAATGCACAAATCACGTCACCTTCAAGTTACTCTAGCCACTCGTGATAAATGTGTGACATTTCCTAACGGGCAATCGACAAAACTGCCATAGAAAGCCTGATTTTTGACCTCTAGATTATCCAATGAGAACGAGCTAAATATAGTACCAATCGGATCCTATGTACATCTGTTCTTAAGTCACTTGTAATGTTCGGCGGACGATGATCAAGTACAGCTTGTTTTTGCTTAACCACCACACAATTGAATTAGCAGGATAGATAGATATTAGCTCGTGTGCGCTCGCTTACAACCACGTTGGCATCTCATTACGCGCTCCAGGCATTGACAGAAAACGATGGCCGGATAGCGAGGCCCCACTGCTGACACCCTCGGTAGCAGTGGTGCGTGTGTTTATGCAAATGCCCAGATCGAGTCCAGGTGGCGACATGCAGGAAGAGAAAGGGGGAAAACGGGGACACTCATGTGACCTTGAATAAGCCTTTCTCCTTTAGTGTCCTTGAACAGGCCACGTGACCTTGTTATCGTCAGTTGTTAATGCACATTTGAACACAATTTGTCGTGGAAGGTTCTTTAATCAATCCTGATTATCCAGTTTCCACTTATTGCATCATTTATTGGTTAAATATTGATCGATTTTTAGCCCAATAGATGCATCCCCATTTGTTATAACACACTAATATCTTGTGAAAATACAGCATTTCGCATATTTGGCAATAACAGAGTGATCGTCTTAGTAAGAATTTTAAAAAATCATTGCCTTTCTATAAATTTGTGTCCTGATTTGAGGTTAAAAAAAGAATTTTTTGCCATAAGTTGCATCGACTACACCAACGCACATGATTTTTAACGTTTGGAGTGATTTTTCTGTGCTAATTTAGTCACGTTCATTGAGTTCATCAATCGTGCTTGTTCTAACCCGTCAAAACGCGTTTGAATAGCACACGCTAGGCAACCTGTAATTACGCGCGCGTTCCGAAAGTCCCAAATTTGGAAAGGCAACCTAGGGAGCTTCTGAAGTAAGCTTTATAAGCCAATGCTTCACAGTTTACTGCACCCCTGTTCGCTTAGTATCTGGAGCATGAATAAAATGCCCTTTTTATTCATACCACCGAACATTCATCGTTTCGTGATTGGTCCGTTCATCGCGCGGCAGATTCGAATGACAGGTGTGCACCACAGATGCACGGATTAATGAAACATGCCAATTTCAATGGCATATTTTGGGGAGGTTTCGCGTGATTTCGTAAACGAAGTGGAATTTCTTAGCAAACTTAGTGGATGTATCAGTTGAACTGCTCAGGTTAGACGTCTAGTCGGATAGGCTTGTTTTGCTGCGTGTCCCAAGAGAGGAGATGTAAGGGGGCTTAATTACGACCTCAAAATCGCCTTGTGGGACACGTGCAATGCACTCATTCGAGGTCTGACAAACGCAGAATCCAAACGATCACTTGACACCTCAGCAACCACTCGCAGGATGCGCGTGAGACCTGTCTCAATTTTGGGACTAGGCTGAGGTGTCAGTTAAAACAAATTTGCACCCAATTCAAAAAATTGAGGAAAGTTTCCATCACACCGTGGAAACAAGAGGCGTGGACAACAAGCCCAATTTCTCACAATTAGCCACGATCAGAAATTAGTGCTGAATTAAAGCGATAAAAGGCTTTGCGTGGGAGATATTTTAGTAAACTTGGAGTCAGACATTAGAAATCGGTGCTTACCAACGCCCTTTGAGTCGATGGGTGGGGTTCTTAGGAGAGCGTCGTTGAGTTTCCAGTAGAAGTCCGGTGGAGGAATTCCGTCTAACGCTACGCACTCGACGCTAATCGTTTTTTCATCATTACCCGGCAGGGGTACAACGAGGGTCCGTTTCTTGACCTCCTGTCCAAGTGCGAAGAGTCTGGGCATTGAGGGTATGACTAAGAGGAAGAGAGGAGTTATTTTACGACATTGTCCATTGGCTTCGCCCTGCTGAACTGTTGGACAAGCCAGCGTTCCCCATAACCACACCAGGGAACCTCCACCTAGATTCGTAAGGTCAAGGTCATCTGTGACGTATCACTCCCCCATTGGCTGAGGTAGTAGGAAGCCTCTGCTCGAGGTCATGTCTAAATCTAAATCTGGTTGTGGGCAGAACTCGACGTGAACCATCCATCAAACGTGGGCCTTATAGACCTTAAAATGTCAGATACGTGGAACTTACCGGTGACTTGGAGCCACGTTTTCCTGCGAAGAAGGGGCTGGTTCTTGCTGGGAACAGGCGTGACTTGGCATTCGTATTCCCCAGCATCACTTGGAGTGAGGTTCTTTATCTGCAAACTCACATCGCCTGTGTTGGGGTCTCCAGGCATCGAGATTCGCTCAAATCCAGGGACGGTCCTGTCGTGCCCTATTCACACACACACACTCACGTAAAAAGGACACCCACAGACCTCCAATGTGAAGGGCAAAATTTTTCCTTTTTTTCATTTTTCCAGCTGTAAGTTTTTTCCCTTAGTTCGTTAAAATTTTCACTGTTCAAACTCAATCAGGGGTTTCGAATTCTCGCCGGAAATGTGTGATAGGTTGATGTCAGCAGGAGCAAATTGAGGCGTTTGTTTTCTTTTTACAAATTAAAACATGACAATTAGGCAGCCCCATGCTTTTCACACAATCTGCAGATATAGTCGCAAGGCTATTGGTCACATCTAACACGGAATTTTCAGACAACACTTTAAGACACTTGGCGGTCAAGTTATCAAAGATGTGATTGCAACAGAGAGCAAGGTGAATGGCATTATTTGTGAAAAGAACCCGCTTAGAAACCCACCTACCGACATGACTGCTTAGTGTTTAAAACGGAGATAGGATCTATTATTCTTGTTTGGTCGTTTTGTAGTAATTTTAGAGTTTGGATCACTGAATACGCTGCTGAGGTCAGACCGCGAACAGTTGAACCAATCCCGGGCGAACACGCGTTCAATCGATAATCTTGAATGCACTTCCAGTCGCGGTGTTCTTTTAGCGATCGATATCAAGAGTTTATTCAAAAACTGGGCATCCAAATACCATCTCACCAGGATAAATGCTCCCTTGTTAACATCGATTGAGTTTAACTAATCCTGTCAAATTAACCAATTAGCTTCAAAATGCGTTTCCCAGGTGAATTTGTGATTTCACAATCACTAAATATGGCGATACTCACCCAACATGAAGTTGTTGAAACGCCATTGGGCTCTGCCATGCATATTTTCGACGAAACAGTGCAAGAGGGCGGTGTACCCTCGTGGGAAGGAATAAATGTTCTCTGGAATCCTTCGAAAGCACTGCGTTCCAGCTTCCAATTCCTCGTCGGTGCAGGGTTCTGACTGAAACGCCGCGGTGTCTCCCAAGTCAAAGCCACCGAACAGCACTGAAACCGAATTTAACTCGACAATAGAGAATGATTCGTACCTGCAAGATAGACATCTACACACACACCAATCAGCGACATCATGTCAGCCGTGAAATTTGACATTGAGGGATGTCGTACGATTTGCTAAGTTAATACCTACAACTCCTTCGAATAAAAGTAGGGCCAGAGAATTCACCAGGGGAAAACTGTCGCTATTCAAGCACACATAGACAGACCATATCGCTTTTTTGCTAATTGCTTCATAGGTCAATATTAGTGTAATGTGTAGTCATTGGGTGTATCTTCATCGACCGCTAATATTTCGTGCAGTACACCCATTAGCAGTAAATATGCATGAACTATAGTGAGCTCTCAATCAGTTAACGCCCTAGCAGCTGAGGGCTACAGCAGAGTATACTTTCGAAGCATATATCTCGTTCATTGTCGCCCTGGTTCACATGTTCGACATTGGGCACCTAGTTGTGATTTTGAGGTATTACTGTTAACAAAACCAGACGTGGATTGTCGACTTACCGCAACCATAGACGAGAAACCTCCACTGCAGGAACCGATCCAACCAACGAACCGTTAACATTCTGCTTGTGATCTACGGCAGTGAATAAAAAACGAGTTTAATGACATGTCAGTACTTGCCGTTGGGCTAGTGACAAATAGGTATGTTTGTTCAGAAATCACTGCCAGGAAATTGTGGACAACAATTCGGATACGCACAGGTTAAGAATGGATTCAACGAGGGGCAATCAGCTATGAATGCTCTTTCCACGTCAATGACGGAATCGTCTCCGATGCAAGGCAGTTTTGTGTGGAATCTGTTCTAAATGACCTCGTCCACGTTGGTGACATTAAGTTTATGTTAATAGATTGTATCATCCCTGGTGTCTAGGCCGTAACCTTTGAAGTTGAAAATGACGTCTGAATGCTCACTGACGCATTTCTTAATCGCCCTGCGATCAGCAATCTTGACGTGCCTTATGGGTCTAAGTGCTAGTCTCATTTTCCAAATCAGAAAGGTACCACCTGTTTGCCCATCTCGATACTAAGATATATATTTAACATTAAAGGGCAACTTCCACGTCCTGAATTTCCTTATTTATGTTATTAACCGTCTATTTTTTTCAAATTTGTGACTCTCAATTATCGTAAAACGAAATTTTCGCTAAAATTACGCTGTTAGTCTGTGGGCTGGTGGAGTAGTTTGTTGGTATTTGCGTTTTGCAGCTACCACCAATCAAAGCATAAATATCTGCAGACAAATTCGTGTGGTTAAATTTGTCGAAAATAAGTTTCACACATCACAAGTAATCTCATCTCTAAAATTACTTTGAAGAGAAAAAAAAGGAATTCATAAAATCGCCAATTTATGCATTATGTCAACTCCTGCAACGTACCTCGCGTTTCAGCTATCGGATATAGGAAGTGCCCGATGAGTTTGTCAAAGGAATATAACCAACCAATCATGTGAGCGTTGAATCTAATTGCTGACTTTCCACCAATCAAAATTAAGCAATCACCAGAACCACATCTTTGCGGACAATTTGAATTATTCACCAGTATGTGCAGTCTTTTTTGGTATCCACTTTAGTTTCCTATGCACATTAGGGCCTGTACGGACAATAATTGATCAATTTTGAATCGTTAACTGTTGAAAAAACAAGCCTGCAATCCAGAAACCGCTTCTTCATTCATAATGGTTTCTGCATGAGTCACGTGAACGTATACTCAGCGAACGATTAAAGTCCAAACCACCAAATTTTAACAGTCCTCAGTACTTTCGAATTTTACAGAATTTGAAGGTTGGTTTATTGTGGTTCAGATCGAAAATTGTGAATGAATTAAGTGATAAAATTACAGTCAGGTAGATTCTAAAATAACCAGCTTCTTGGAGCACCATCTGTTAACTTAAGGTAATGGCTAATACCTGTATGAATAAACGCTACATGTTACCCATTCTGTCGTGAATACAACTTCGCAATAATTTGTCCATCTGTTAGCGAACGAATTTAGCAAGAGGTAAATTTCTGGAAAGCAATCACACATACCTAATTTTTGTGGGCATTTTAAATCGTGAAGGGATCAGTAGAAAGCCCCAAGGGCGACATCTGAGTGATCAACTTCCGTGCACAGCCATCTAGCGGTGCGAAGACCCAACTACACGTGATGATTCCACTCTCAAGTCCTTTTTGCACGTGTCGGTTGCATCAAACACCAACCAGAAGGTGAAAATTTGTTCATTTAACTTTTAAGGAGAACCTTTAAAAGTTTCTTTTGAGCAAAATGAACAGCTCTGTACACTGCAGGAAAGTACATGTTAAGTAAAAATTGGATACCGCGGCAAGTTGAAGAAGATAGCTGACTCAGACATATTTTGCGGTTTACCTTCCATTGAAGGCTCTCTTGAGTTTGGACAGGTGTGTTGCAGCTTATACACCGGGCCTGACCACAAAAGAGGATAGAGACCGCAGATAACGCCGAGCGCAATCGATTTATCGATTAAAATTTACGTGCACTCACGTCTGGTATGAGTGGTGTTTGCGTGCTGCTCGCTATCGCTGCGTAGAGTGAATTCGAGCTAATCGATAAAATTCGTGCTCGCTCATGATTGGTAAAAATGTGTGCGCGCTAATCGCCACAGATATTAGTTTAGTTCCAAACGTTTTCACAGTCATTTCTCGCCCCGCCAGTTTACAAAACCTCTGCACCGAGTTCAACTATTAACGTGAAGGAAATATTTGCCTGTCTTCTCGAATTTTAGTGCATTTCGTCAGTCCATCGAAGCAACGTGATTACGTCCTGGTTTAAATCGATTTTGGCTGCGATTGAAGGCAACTCTTTAAGGAGACCTTCCTTGCATTGTTCTGAATGTACAGACGCCAGATTTTAAATTTTATTTCAACGCGAATTCATCTGTAATGCCCCAGGATTGTGTGAAAATTGAACTATAAAAGGAGTCGTTGCACTCGAGAAATAAAACTCAAGTGATGAAGCAAATGCACTTTTACATGTGCTCAATGACACTGCTAACATTGCAATTTAATGTTTTCTGGTCACTGCAAAAAAAATTCTTCTATTTGCTTGTGCATGAATTAACCTTTGTGTGTTTAGTTCATGTCTCTGTTATTTGGTTGTTAATTCTGAGTACTTAAAGCTACTCGTGCACATTAGAAAAACTCGACTTGGGTAGGGGAATTGAAAATGCTCAAGATCCCTTCGGGCATCCCCTGAGATAGCTCGTTAACAGTCTCGTAGATGCCCTGAAACCACCGGGATATTCATTTTTAGAAAAATGCAAAAAATTCACTCCCTACCGCTTCATTGCTTGGTCAATGGCACCACCTATAAATCCTTTTTTTGTCCGAAATATGACTGATGTGCTCATTTGCCTAATTAATACACCTACGTAGTTGCTGTCGCCTTAATCAAACTGTGGATATTTCCCTGATGCACAAAAATGCAAATTTTTTAGCCATGGAACCCAAATAAATAACTTTTTCAACATTCCACCTCGAAAATTCTGTTACTGGTAAACAAAGCTTCGTTTCATCATTATTCCATAGAGAATGTTTCCTGGAGCACATTTGCTTCCTCTCTTCACGTGACGCGCAAAATGCCTAAAAAATCATTAACTGCATTAATCAGAATTCTAAAGCGCTATTGATTTATAGATTTGGTTAATTCATTGTAACCTATTAACTTATTACGAAGCTACTGTGCAGACTTATTGTCAATGAAGACTGATTGGTTTTATCGATTGCACTTGAATTGACCGGGTGAATGACCATCCAATCAAATAACAGCATTCAAGTTATTTCGATAAAATCCGATAGGCTAATGCTTTTTTGAAATATAACAACACTAGTTCTCTGAAAATTTGAGACTTTTTAGGCAAAAAAATCGCGTTGCTATTATGGTTTTTTTCTTAATCGTACTGGTGCCTTTGGAATAGCCAATGGTAAGGCGTTCAGTGCAGAGAAAAATGTGGTCTGTTTGCGGTAACTAATTATCCCTTTTCCTCGCTAGCAGTAATTTTATTAGGCAAGGATTAGGTCCTAGCAACCAATCAAGGGTAATTATGCCTCTTGGCCAACTAGTATCACTGCGCTGACGACAACAGCGGGCATTCAGAGCGCTGTAGTGAATGCCTATGTTATCAGTTTGAAAAAATAGTAGTACTGAGTGCTTGGTTTGGACATATCTTAAGTGATTTGTACAGATGCACTTTAAGGTGAAAATTGTGGATTAAAATGGAAGCATTTGGCGGGCTTTTGTGGTATTAAAAGGACCGGACGCGTGGTTTAGAATAACGAACGGCGAGTCTACGAGAGTTACATAACTTGACACAATAACTGAGTACATACGTTTTATTAAAAGTGGTGATTTCGATCCTAGTGACCAACCGCGACTCACACAGAAGGTCCAACGGTTTGTGGATCCCCAATCGCACACTCTAGCGTATGAAGACTCAACACAATCGCAGCAACGGCTTACAGCAGCTCAGTTAGGAATCATCCAAACACCTATTTCCAAGCGTTTGCATCATCGAATGAGAAACATTCGCAAACGTGGAAGTGTGGTCCTGCCACATGTGCTGACTGAACACAACCTGCGTCAACGCATAAGCACACACCTTTGTCCGCTTTTTCGCTAACAACAGGCTGTTAACGGACTTCTTGTGGAACGCTGTGACGGGCGATAGATGGATATTTTTGCTACGGGAATCTCAAACGTAAAACGTCGAATCGTGGGTAGATCCCGGACAACTCATTGCATCGACGCCGACACAGGACATCCGTCCACTTGGAGGAGATTCTCGTGTGTGTCTGGTGGGGGCACATGAAACGTGGACATTATTGCGAATTCCTCGAAACTGGTCGTCAGACGGTGACTGCGCAACGCCACACCCGAAAATCGACCGAACTGGCGAAGAACTTGATCACAATAAGCCATTCACAGGACAAGGAAGCAGACAAGTCATACTGTTGCCGCTGCCGCATGACGATGCCCGACTACCTCACGTTGCTCCTGCGACTCACAAGATTCTCCTGT